TTTTTTTTTTTTTTTTTTTTGATACTGGGGATCGAACTCAGGTCCTTGCGTTTTCAAGGTAGGCAGTGGAACCACTGAGCTAAATCCCCGGCCCTATGTCCAATTTATAGATGAGGATACAGAGACACAGAAAGATTAAATTATGTGTTCAGAGTCTCAAAGGAAGGAAGCATGAGAAGCAAAATTCAGAGCTGGGCCAGTCCGGCTCCAGAACCAGACTCTGAACCACCGTGCCCTACTCAGGGAAGGCCTGAAAAGCCTAATGATATAGCGAAGTGTGGAGACTGTGAGAGAAGCCAGGAATTTCTGGGCATTGACCGTTTGGGCAGTAGGGACTGGGGAGACTCAGGAGAGGGGAGAAGGCCTGATCTTAGAGATGCAGTAGGGGAGGCCGGGCATGGTGGCGCATGCCTGTAATCCCAGCACTCAGAAGGCTGAGGCAGAGGCAGGAGGATCACTGTGAGTTCAAGACCAGCCTGGGCTATATAGTGAGTTCCAGATCAGTCTCAATTACATAGTGAGACCTTGTCTCAAAAAAAAAAAAGATGCAAAGAAACTCAGCTAGACTATCTTAACGAAGAGATCCAAGAATCTTATTATCATTCAAAGGTAAAGCCAACCTCTGACCCAGGGAGAAATACTTTCCATGGCATTTCCTTTTTATCTACAGAATAGAAAATATGATAATTCATCAGAAACAGATGACAAGTTGAATATTTGAAATGCTAAGAGCACAGCAAAAATTAGTAAGAATGTGATTAGATTAACATCAGTGGAAGACATTTAACACAAGATGAGTCTTTCAAAAACATCCTTGAGGGCTAAGGATGCAGCTCCATGATAGGTAGAGCTTAGAATGTCCAAGGCCCTGGGTTTGATCCATAGAACTGCCAAACACAACAACAACAACAACAAAAGCATTGGTCCCAGTGAGTTCAATGAAGAGTTCCCCAAAAATTCTTAAAAGAATATCTCTGTATTATTTAAACAGCATCAGAATACAGAAAAGAATTTTGTGTCACCCAGCCCTCTTATGAGGTAAGTAGAATTTTGATAAAATTTGGTAATACATATAATAACTTGACCACCACCAAGCCATGGCCTAACAGGGAGAACACATTACAAGGAAAACATTACTAACAACTGGCATTGACAAGAAAAATGATTAGCCATTTCCAATGATACTGAGAAGTCTGTCAGCAAAGCCTAACATCTATTCCTGATTCAAACATTGGAAGAAAAGAGCATCCTGAAAAATGTAATCGTGTTCAGAAAAGAAAGGAAGGGATGAAGTCTAGAACACTAAAAATAAATATCAGCCACTACAGCAGAAATGATAGCAACATTTGAAACTTAGATAAGGAGTTAGCATTTAAAAGTTTGACATAAAGAGACAAACAAATCCATAGAAGCATTATTTTTTTTGTAAAGAACAGGACTACTAACAAAATCCAAGGAAGACAACCAAGACAAATTCACAGCAACGAGGCAAAAAACCTGGAAGCATTCAATTGAAAGTCATAGGATACAAATAGATCAGTTTTTAGGGCTGGGGATTTAGCTTAGTGGTTCTGGCACCTATGTTGCAAGCTCAAAGGCCAGAGTTTGATCCCTGGTACCAGAAAAAAACAAAACAAAACAAAACATAACATCAGTTTGGTTTTTTTTTAGGGGGGATACTGGGGATTGAACTCGGGACCTTGCATTTAGGAGGCAAGTACGGTGCCACTGAGCTAAATCCCCAGACCCAAACAGATCAGTTTTTAAACAACTAATATTTATCCTCAAATATCAGAGAACAAATACAACACAAAGGGCTTCTATTTTCAACATAACCAAAACAAACTACACTAAAGATCTGGCATGTGCACCATATGGTATTTATTAGAGAAAATTCAAAAACCAGAATGAGAGAAATAAAAACGTGAATACATGGAGAGCTAAACTTGACTACTGTTTGGGAAGACAGTTAGTAGAGATAAAAATAAGTGAGTATAAGAGTCAATTCAATCTGCACTGAAATCTCACTATACTTTTTATTGTTGTGACATTCAGCATCCCAGAGTAATTAGGCAAGAATCTGAGGTGGGTTTTTTGTTTTGTTTTGTTTTGTTTTTTTGTGCTGGGACCACTGAGCTAAATCCCCAGCCCAAAAATCTGAGTTTTCAAAATAGGTGACAATGAAATAAGTGAACAGATAACTGTGATGATAGCATACAGACTCCAACAGATTTTAAAACACATCAGACCAAAGTGACTTCACTATCAAAAGCTTATAAAGTCAAGATGAAATCTGAAAACTCAACCATCCATTCAAAAATCGAATCTGAAACTACTTGTGGATCAGCCTGAGGCAGGCACTGTTCCAGAAGCTGGGTATTTAGTCATGAACAAGCCCAGAAAGGTCAGAGAGAACTAGGCATTTAGCAAGTCAAAAGATAAATAGGCAAGATGATCCCACGGGGTGAAAAGTGCTGCAAAGTGATGGTCAGAGAGCTGGAGTCAGAGGGGTACTATGAACGTGACTACTAAGGAAGGTCTCGCTGAGGTGAGCTTTTGAGCTAAAATCTATGTATCAGAATAGATTTTCCAAAAATAATTCCAACAATTGTAGGTCCAGAAAGTTTCCCCTGGGAACTTCTCATGTGCAAGGCTGTGTTGCTTCAGGGGTCTTTCAAAGATGAATTTTTTTAAAAAATCATTGGCTGACAATAAATGAATGCCTCAGAAATTTAAAGGGGGGCGGGCTGGGGATTTAACTCAGTGGTTCTGGTGCCTGCCTCATAATCACAAGGACCCAAGTTCAATCCCCGGTACCCAGAA